TTTATGTTTGTTTGTTTTCCAGTTGTTGTCTGTCCTCCCTCTGATCTTTTTCTTAGTTTTGCTTACCAACTGAGCACCTTAAGTAGTGCCAAACAGTCGGTGGTTCCTCGTTTGGAGTGCCTACTGCACTCTTATGGAGGCCGCTCAGTTTGGGATGTCTGTGTTCCCTGTAGGTGATGACGGATGTTCGTCGAAGTGACTCCCTGGCTCAGTGGGTGGTGGGAACCAACAGTCTGCGGGGTTCAATCGTGATGTGAGTAGGTCATATCCTGCTTTGCTCCGTGTTGGATGTGTGGACGTCCTCGTCTGCGCTTCGCTGCTGCCCTGCTGCCTGTCCCGCTTGCTTCGCGTGTGGCTCTCTGCGAATTGCTATGTTCACTGCGTGGTGTGGGCGGGTTGCTGGTGTTGCCTTGCGCTTCGCTGCTTCGCTGCCGTGCTGCTCATCCGCTGGTCGTGCCTTTCGTGTTTGCTGCTTGTGTGCCCTGTAGGTTGGTTGCCTTGTTGCTGGTGCATTGTGCTCCGCTCCACGGTTGTCGAGCTGCTGGTTCGCTCGCCCTTTCGTCCCTTGCAGTGTGGTTGCCCTGCGTGTGTTGCCTTGTGATTCACTATATGGTTGCCCCGCTGTGTGCCATGTCGTTCCTTGCAGTCGTTTTTGGCGTTGTGCAGCCGTGTTGCCTCTACTGTGTTGCCTCCACAGAGTTGCTGCCCTCTGCTATGTTTCGCTTGGGGACAGTCTGCCTTCAACAAGGGTCAAAGGGTTCATGACCCAAACCATCAAATACGGAGATTCCTCAAATTGTCTAGGGTTCAGCCTCCTGATGAGTTGGTGCAATTCCGACGAAACAATCTCGTCATCATCAGTTTATTTTTTTCGGTCTTCCGATTTACGTGGGACTTGTATTTTTTTTCGGTTTGCCTGCCTTCGTGTGCTTGTGTGCCTGTAAAGTGTTCTTGCATGTTGTCTGCCCTCCCGCCTCCCCTGTGCCCTCCAGCCTATGCCTTGATGTCCTTTTGCTTGCTTTGCTCTGATGTTTTCTTGTCTGCCTGGTCTTGGCATCCTTTTGGGACTTTGCCCACTGACGTGCTTGCACGTTGTCTTCCCTCCCGCCTCCCCCATGCCCTCCAGCTGTTGTATATTTAGTATCTATGTTGTGGGCACTCGGGGTCCTTTGCTTGTGAGTGTACTTGACTGCGAAGCGTTGGAACGCATCTTGGGGAGGTAATGTTGAGTCTAGTCCCTAGGGAAAACCATGTCTTAGTGTGAAGTTGGAAACTGGGGTTTACAATATACTTAAACATAACACACACGCGCACGCGCAAACACACACACACACACACACACACACACACACACACGCACGCACGCACACACACACACATGCACACACACACGCACACACGAGCTTCATTTTTTTTTTGTTCTAATCAATCAATCAATCAAACAGCATAGAAGAAGAAGAAGAAGAAGAAGAAGAAGAAGAAGAAGATTTTTTTTTTTCAGAAAAAGCAATTACCTTCGCAAAATTTTTAGGACTCTGACTCCATATCACTCACGAAAAAAAATGGAAAAAAAAAAATCCTGCTTTTCTTTTATTTAATTATATTTTTTTCTTTTTCACCGATTTTTGTGCAAGGAAAATGAGCGATAGCGAACCAAAAGCAGAATTGCAACACGAGTTTCACCAAATAAGAGCACAACAAAAGCTCATAAGTGACAATGTTGGAATTGTCTCATCATCATCAACAAAGAACCAATGTCGACATCCTATCTGGCGCTCTGCGCCCAGACTACAAATGGCAGATCCTATCTAGCCTATCTACAATGCCGCTGGTGACGTCAACAACTCCCCGAAGTACGAGCAGATCTAGGCCAATGCCGTTCGCCTCAAGCACCAGGTATGTCTCTCGTATCACTCACAACCTCGATCCCCCACTCACAGATGCCACGTGCACCCAAGGACCACCATGCACCCCATCCAGCATACAGCAACGCAGCTCGGCTATGGCTGCCTGCTTATCCAGCTCGCCCGTGAGAGCGTGAGCGCGTGAGCGCTGGCCAGCGTTACTGCAGCAGCGCTTGCGCAGCATACAGCCAGTGCCCGAATGAGGAGTGCTGGGGCAGGCATTTTCCTAAATGGAAGTGACCTGCCTGCTGCGTGCGGCCTGCCTGCACTGGGCCTGTCCAGAAGCTTCTGGTAGGCCCCGTGAGGCTGAGCCCCAGTCTGAACGAATCAGGCCCAGGGCCTGTGGTGGTTACCTGTGCCCACCTGCCCGCAGCCTGTGTTCGGCCCATGTTGCGTATCTGGCCCAGGGCCTGCCTCAGTTACATGCGAAAAAGGCAGCCTGGGCCTGGGCGCTCTCAACCAACTGGAGCTGCGCAACTGTCTGAATTTCCCCAGTTGTGTGGTGACCCCAAAAATGGGCCTGTAGGCCTTGGTCGAGCCTGCCTTCACTTAGGCCGTCCGACTGTACTGAAAATAGGGCCCAGTAGGGCGTATCGAGGCCTTGAGCCTCCCATTCCGTCCTCATACTTCGACAGTCCTCTGAGAAGTCCCATTACTCAATCTGGCGCTTCCCCTCTCGTAGTGAGCGACAGCCTGTGGAGCGGTCTGCATCAGTTCCTCCCTGGTAAACCATCTGTCCTCCTTAGGATGAGTGTGATGTCTGAACCGAACGTGATACTGCAGCTTCGGCTTAGGAGGACGTCCCCTGCCTGTTGGTCTTGGAACTGGCATTTCCCTGTGGTCCACGATGTCATCGATGTCGACCTCTCCATCCATGGTTGGGGGCAGCGTTGAGCGACGAGAGGGAAACTGGTCAGTTTCCTTGAAAGGTGCAAGTTTGGAGGCGTGAAAGACAGGGTAAGTGTGAAGGTGACCAGGAATCCGAATAACATATGACGGCCCATCCGGATCAC